ATGCTGTTGCTCATTAGGATTTTGGCAAATTCTATCCTTCGCTTTCATATAACTGGGCCAGGAACCCGTTTGAACTTTACTTGCGAAGTAAAATAAAATCAATCAATCAATTTTTTGGTGTGGTAGTAGGTGGAAGCAAATTTTGTTGCTCCGCCAATCGACTCCTTACTTTTGTTTTGTTTGTCGAGCACTGACCAAGGAAGCACAGCTATGGCGGACTCAACCCTAGACCTAGCCCTGATCGAGTTCAATGTGTTGCAGCAGGTAGCCAAGGACGCCCGAATTCCAGGATGGGACGACTTATCCAGGGCGGACCTCGTGTTCGCTCTCCGTAAGCAGGGCCAGGGAGCCAGCGCACCAGCCAGAGGAGCGCCATCTGAAACCGGTATGGTACCAATTGTATCAGAACTGTTAGACGTAGTCCGAGCACTTTCAAATGAGATTTCGCAACTACGAAATGTGATTGAAACAAGTAAGTCTTCGCAAGAAAACTTCGAAGCCCAATTGTCACGATTGCGGGAAGAGATGGGGGAGCTCAAAAGTCAGCAAGTGCGAGCCCCGGGATCGCGGGAGTGCCACTAACCACTCCGTACAAACCGAATACGTACGCTGCCACCCTTTCACGTGCATCTACTACAGAGCCCAATGTACAAGTAGGTCCAAATATGTACACTTCTACCATTCCTGGCGCATCCTCTACAGAGCCCATTGTACAAGTAGGTTCCCAGTACGCACCTCCCGCACCCAAACATGGCACGCGAATGACCAGCTCTGGCACTCCTGGTGACACTGACCGTAATGGTTGGCAGTATCCTCCACACCGACACATGGCTCGTGCTCCCGCACTGCAGCGTTCTATCACATCACAGTACAAAAAGCCGATGTCCAGTAAGCGAGGCAGCCTCCAGGGGGCAGAAAGGATCAAGCGGAAGTGCTTCTACCTCGGAAATGTCGATCCTGGGTGTGAGGCTGACTCTATCAGGGAGTGGTGCAAAAAGAAAGCAGTTGACGTCCTCAGTTGCTCAATTTCGGAGTCCAAGTACTTTGGTACTGCTTATGCTCACCTTGTTGTTCCGGCTGAGCATACTGACCAGGTTCTCGAAGAAGATTTCTGGCCAAGCAAAGTTTCAATCAGGGAATGGAGATTTGCATCTGACAGCACAACCTTGGATCAGTCTGCTAGTAACTAAACCGTGCAATTGGACCCACACCCACCTTCCTCACTGAACCCACACGCATACCCATTCTTTCCTACCAGACACTCCCTTCCCACTCACCAGCATTCTACACCACCCCAGCTCACACTCATATCAACAAACTGTCGTTCTGTAGTAAATAAGTGTACAGAGCTTACTATTGTTGCTGAAGAGTGGCAGCCTGACATAATCTGCCTAACTGAAACCTGGCTCGACCCGAATATTGCACTTAATATTACGCGTTATGACACCTTCCGGAGGGACAGGCCCCCTGCAGAGAATAAGTCCGGGACAAGTGCAAGAGGTTATGGTGGTGTCTCTATCCTTGTTCGACAGAATAAGTTTAAGTCTGTTGCCATGCGTCCCGATCTAGCTCGCGATGGGTGCGAAGCCGTTTGGGTTCAACTCCAGCCGTATCTGGCTGCAGCTGAGCCGATCCTCCTCTGCTGCAGTTATCGTCCACCTTCTGCTAAGCCAACAGATATAGCAAGGTACTGCCAGACTCTCGAAGACGTACTCATTACTCTTCCTCTTTCATCTTCTCACGTTATCTTGACAGGTGATTTTAACAGCAAGCACACGTCATGGTGTTCGACAGATTCCACCAATACTGCCGGTGCTGAATTGTATCGCACGCTCAGTCCATTTGGTCTTCACCAACTCGTCAACACATGTACATACACGTCACCATCTGGTGTCCAAGCCTGCTTGGATTTGGTATTTAGTAACCGTGCCAATCTCTCGTCTTGCGTCGAAACTGACTGCCCTCTGGGCGCCTCAGACCATGCCATTGTGTACTGCCAGTTCGACATCCCCCTGCCTCAGTCTCCCCGCGAAATAACGTCTCAAGCTCAGGAGCCTAACCCTATGTCTTTCAATCTCCGACACGTCACACCTGCTGTGTGGGAGGCGGTCAATGCAGACTTAGACTCAGTACCTTGGAACTCATTAATATCCTCAGACGTGGACAGTGCACTTAGTAACCTGCACAGTGTCCTGCAGACTGTGCTGTCCAAGTATGTTCCCCTTCATAGCTCCCGCAAACCAAATCGAACTCCCTCAACCCCAGGGTCTACACGCAAATATCATCCATGGGTTTCCACTGAACTACGCAAGGCTATCAAGTTCAAGCGTGACCTATTCAGCCTCTCCAAGAAATTCCCTACGGACTACAACCTATCAGCATATAAGGCACAGCGGAACCAGGTGAGACATCTCTCCCGCTGGTGCCACCGCCAGTACATTCGTTCAATCAAAACAACACTTACCTCAGGCAGCAATACGCTTCACCAGTTTGTCCGCAGTCAGCGATCGCACAAAGTAAAACCTGGCATCCCTGACATTGCAAGCCCTGATGGGCTGCTGGTGTCCGACAGCTTCCAAAAAGCAACCATCCTCAACAAGCAGTTTACCTCTGTCGCGGTGCCTGATGACCCACGTTTAGTAATACCCCCTCTCCAATATGACACTCGTCTTACTCGCCAATTCGCCCGCGTTCATATCACTACAGCAGATGTTCGTAAAGCCATCTCAAACCTGAAATCTGGGAAAGCGCCAGGGCTAGACGGTATCACGAACAATATGATAAAGAAGCTAGCTCCTGCGATTTCTTTTCCACTTAGCCGCCTATTTAACCTCTCCTTTACCACAGGCAAGTTCCCTACTGACTGGAAACTGGCTAAAATTGTGCCTATTTACAAGTGCAAAGGCAGCAAATCTCAAGCTAGTAACTATCGCCCAATTTCCCTCCTGTCCTGTATTTCAAAACTTTGCGAACGGCTCTTCTTCAATCAATTGTATAATCATGTTTCTCCTGCTCTGGATCCCGCGCAATCTGGGTTTCGTCGTGGTGACTCGACCGCTCTACAGCTCACCAAGCTGATCCAAAACATTGCCGACCATCGTCATATGGGGCGGAAAGTTGCCATGTGCTTTTTCGACCTCGAGAAAGCTTTCGACACCGTGTGGCACCGTGCATTACTTGCTAAACTTTCCAAAGTTTTCGGTGTGTGTGACTCAGCGCTGGAGTGGATTACAGACTACCTATCCGACAGAACGCAAGTTGTCTTTGTAGGTGGAACTCTCTCAGATGCTTCACCTGTTCTGTCCGGAGTGCCCCAGGGATCCATCCTAGGGCCCCTCCTTTTCCTAGTATATATAAATGATCTTCCCAGTCATGTTGAAGGTGTGTCCTTATTTGCTGACGATACTGCACTGCTCCGGTTCAATGAGTGTCTAGACAGGCTGCGAGACAGTCTCCAGCGCGGTATCAACGAAGTCCATCAGTGGATGACTACCTGGAGACTAAGACCTAATATCGCCAAGACTGAGATATTATTCCTGCCGAACTCAGAGCCAACCTATGCATTCACTCTTCCCGGATCCCTCACAGACCTCACAGTGGTAAAACAACACAAACATCTTGGTTTGGTCATTGACTCAGACTTATCGTTTAGTAGACATGTCGACTATATCTGTAGCAAAGTCAGTAAAGCTGTTGGCTACCTCGTGTCTCACTGCTCACACCTACCGCTTGAATGCATACGACTTTTTTATCATTGCTATATTCTCCCCATTTTTCTCTATTGCTCAACCGCCTGGTCATCCCTACTTAGTAAATCGTTAATGAGTACCCTGGAAGTCCACAATAAGAGGATACTCAAAGTCCTTTTCCGTAAACCATCATACTTTCCCTCTGCCGAGCTGTATGATATGTTTAACACCTTCCCTATCTCTAGTCAAGCGGATCGAAAACTGTGTATTGTTGTTCATTCTATTCGTCTTGACAAAGCCCCGCCACACTTGCGTAAATATAACTGGTTTCTTCCCACTCGTCCTACGCGCAATCCCTGCACTTTACCTAAAGCCCGAACCTCAGCTTATACCAGATCTCCGTTTTTTGCTGCCTATTCTCTCTGGCTGGCCCTGCCTCTATCAGTAAAATCGTCTTGTACGCTAAAGGATTTCAAGGCCAACATGAAGCTCGTGTTCTAATAACTGCTAGTTCTTCATCCACATTTGTTTCTCTTTGCCTCCAGTAATGTGTAATATTTATTTATTTTTGCTTTGTTTTTGTTTACTGCCATGGCTGGCTACCGCCCCCCTCCCTCCATATTGGCCTATATTCTCTGGCCACGGGAAGGTGAAATAAATAAATAAATAAATAAAATCAATCAAGTACGATTTTTTGTTCATCATTTCTTCCATATCACATTTTTTCTTTCTTCCATGTTCTTCACTGCCTTCTTATCCACTCGTTTTTTGAATACAATAAAAGCCTTTGTGAAATAGGCACATTGCCTTTGGGTCATTTCATAATAATAATAAAGAAGAAAAATGTCGGTTCAGCTCGTTCTGTTGATCGCAATTCTAAAATTATTATTATTATGCCTACTGCTGGCCACTGACGAGGACACCGTGCGCAATGCTAAGCTCCAGGGCCGTGCCAAACTCCGTACCCTGTGGTCCGACACTACTGCCACCATCAGTGCAGACCTCAGCGACCATGAGTAGCGCTCCTTGGAAGCTAGTTGCGACCGCGGTGCCAGCTCGTGGCTGTCGTGCCTGCCCATCGCTGCACACGGCTTCAGCCTCGACAGGAGCC